CTATGGACCATGTTTAGTGCCTTTCCTCTGCTTTGTCCTTGTAGAACAGCAACAATTAATTATGGCAACAGAGCACTGGTTTTCACTTAAAAAAGTGATCTCCGTCTGTGCTAGTTCCCTGTGATGGTCATTGTATGTACTCCGACACCAGGATCAGAACAAGCTGGCAGAAGCAGAATCCCAGGGGAGAGCTGAGCTCACCTCTGTTTAACCACCTCAATATTCCTGGAGAAGGAATATCAAAGATAGTCCAGGACTATACTCAATAGTCTTTTAGATCAGTGCTGGTTAATGGAAATTTGCAAGCCTCAAATGTAATTTAAAGTTTTCTAGTAGTCACATTAAAAAGTTAAGTGAAACAGGTGAAATTTTACTTGTATTTCAATCTCATGTATCCAAACTATCATTTCAGCATGTTACCATTGAAAAGATAACTGATTTTGCATTGGTTTTTGGAACCAAGTCTTCAAAACTCATGTATTTTTATACTCACAGCCTATCTCATTTGGATTAGCCACATTTCAAGAGCTTTAATAGCCAGCATATGAGACAATGCAGCTCTGGATCTTTCCCTTACTCAGAGTTTAGAGACTGACTTTGAGGTGAAGTAAGCCCCCACCCCCAAAATTTTTACCCATTTGCCAGAGAAAGTACAGTCCGGCCCCTCAGTCAGCATTTGACAGGTGGAAGGCTGCCTCCTCAGGCACAGGTAACTACTCAAGGGATACCTGTTTTGAGGGTGCTGATGTAAATTCCCATTGCTTCTCTTAGAAGTTTCACCCCTTCTTCCTTCATTAAGGCCACGAGATTTGTGTCAGGCTCATCTTTGGCAAGGCTCACGCTAATCTGAGTGAAAGATCAGAAGAAGTTGGTAAATAACTTGAGAGACTTCCACATCATGGAATGTGGGAAATGAGCAATCAGCAAACTGCTGACATTTCAAAAGAAAATGTGTAGAGAGGGGTATTTGTACAATCCCCATAGTGATCCTTCTCCAGTCCTCTCTGACAAGGCAAAGGTGCTAATATTAGAGTCCATTTCACTAGCTAAAGCAAAGAAATTAGTACAAGTTCCTCCGGAAGCTTCCAATGACACCAAATAGCGAGAAACTTATCTACAGATTGTGGTTCTGAATGCTTAGACCAAACTTGGACTACTAATCTTGAATAAGAGGCCATTTTTCTCATCTAAGAGTAAGAGGACAGGGAGAACTTAGACAAGGAGTTAGGTGCACAAACCTCCACTTCATCCACGCTGTTTTCATCAGACAAATTAGGGATCTCCACATGTCCCTTGTACTGTACTCCTGTCTTAGAGGTACCTGTCAAAAGCAATGCAATGCCATTAGCTTCCTCCTTTGCAAGAAAGGTCTCTTCTTCTAAGGTCCAATCAGAATACTACACCACATATGCTTCCTTTGACCTCTTTATTCTGAGAATACCAATAAAAGATATAATCAGGTGCTCCCCCCACACTGTTATTACAGTGTGGGACTGAGAGCTACAGAGATTAGGCAGCAGCATGAATTCTACCAGGACGACTTGAGGAACAGCCATTAGACAGTTCTATATAACATTTGCTCTGAAAATATGAATTTACTCCCATGTGACCGATATGTTAGAAACAATTTGATTGTGAGAATTTCACATTTGTGTCTATGTAATTTCATCCATGAGAAATAGGCAAACACAGAAAACTATACCCAGCTGAACTGAGCTGTGCACAAATAAACAAAACACACACAGCACAAAACACCTGACAATGGCCTTAGTTTACCATGTGTTGTGTGCCACAACCACACACATCTGAAGGTGCTATGTTCCCTCTGACTTCAGATGATCCTCCTCCTACCTCTTCACAAAAATCCCAAGCTGGAACCCTTCTGCATTCCACTATCATAAGGAAATTTCAGGTCTTTTTCAAGGTAAAACACTGTATCTATTAGAGTATTTATGTATTTCTTACCATTTTACATGTGTTAAATCATGCTACCAGTTTTTAGTTCTTATGTTTTTAAAAATGTGTCACCAACAAATTTTTTGGTGGTTGTGTCAATAATCCCATCTCCCCTACAAACTGGTTTTTATCAAGTGATTTTTACATAGTATGGCAATTTTTAGGAACACGTGTTGAACTATACCAGAACTATTTCAAAATTAATCAACATCTACCTTCACCTTTTAACTCAGTTTCTCAATGTATAAAAAGAGGACCAAGCAAGACACAAAATTCCTTCCAGACTACAATGCTTAGGTATACTTTAAACAAAAATCAGAAGAATGATGGAGGGGGTGAATTCAACGATGATATACTGTAAGAACTTTTGTAAATGTGAGCCTCTGAACTATCAGGACCATGCACACACAGGGTCCCAATGCTTTCCTGGCATCATCACAGAGGGTCATTCAATTAAAAGATAGATAAGGCAGCCCCAAATTATAGTCACACACCAGCTTCACTAGCACAGTGGTCTAGTCTAACCTGCTAAGATTCATACCCTGGAGAGTAAGAAATGATCAAGACTTAAAAACTCTCCTTCTCCCTTTTAAGTCATTAATAAGACAAATGTAAAATGTAGCCAGCCCAAGGAAGTATCACCTTATATATCCTGACATAGACCAAGGCTAAAATATATAGTGGCCAGACACTTCACTGGTGGGGGCTCACGAGACCCAGAGAGAGGAAATCCATTTAAGTGTCCCACAGTGGCAGAGAAATTTCACCACCTTTCTTCCAAGAGTTTGTAACTCCTCAAAAAGTGTATTCTCCATCTATTTAACAGGTCAATGGAAATCCAGGTAGACTCTTTCCTGATAGCCCAGCTAATACTTACCTGTCCAGTTTAATTTGATGCTCCATTCATAAAAGAAGATAAGTTTGCCTTTTCGATTGTTAATGGATGCCTCTCCATCAAGTTTATTCACTTCTGTCACCTCACATTTGCCCTCATCATTTTGTACCTGAACTGCCAGAAACAGAGTTTTCAGCTTTTCTGTGGACCAGTTTGAAGCATCCCTCTCTGTCCTGCAAAACAGAAAGAAAGCTATGGACCAGCAGTCAAACAAAGATTATACTGCCCCATGCAAGAGAAGGTAAGGTTGAAGGAGGCTGGACAAAATAGTTGGAAACGAACACAAATACTCTTCGGTTCTACTTCAGTTTATCAACTAACATGTCACTCTCTTTTAGGAAGACACGGGGCTGCATATTGTCAACAAAGACAAGTGCAGTACAGAATGGCACAAACTAGAAAGTTATGCTACCCATTCTCAGCATTGACACTTGACGCTTTAATATGGCGCCCCCATTCGGCAAAGAGGAAAACTGCAATACAGCTGAGGTAAGATGCACAGCATTTACCTAAAAGGCCCAGTAAGGAATAACCCAGTAATGCTGACCTCATTCGTACAGTTCTCACCTGTCAAGACTCAGACAGCACTATAAACGCCCTACACATTCTATGCCCTCTAGGTGGTCTCAAAAAAGTCTCTCTTGGACTTCAAAACTAACCACAACAAAAATGAGGTCAGGTACTCTGTGTATGTTAAGAGGGAACAGGTGTGACAAGAAGGGAGCAAAAAAAAGTCACTGCTTTCCTACTTATTCACTACTAAGTAACAACAAAAAGAGCTCCATCAGAGTAAAAATACAGTAAACAGTATGAGCAGAGTTCAGCAGAGTTCAAAGTAAACATTATTATGGAAGATTTAATGAAGGCAAGCTTTTAAGAACGAACGGTCTGGCTATGAAATACAAACCACAATTGCCTGGCAACCTGGAATTCTAACACAAACAACTTAATGGTTCCGGGTGAGAGGCAGCGTCTTCAGCATCCGGAGCTCTGGGCGCCTTGCGGAACGTGTTCCAAACCTTCTCCCGCTGGACCGAGGCAGCGGTCCTCTGTGACTGACTTTTAACCCCACCGTAACCAGCAAAATAAAAATTACAGCGCCCGGGCCTTGAGACTTCCCCAATAGTCTCCCAACACAATCGAAAGGAGTTTGCATTGCACTGACTCGTCCGGCCACGTGTAGGAAGCATCTCTCAGCTCAGGCTGGATGCAGCAACTAGGGCGTTCTGTTCTCTGCCATCTGAAATTGCTCCCCTGGGACGCACGCACCCTACCACGTCGACCCCCCGCGCTCCAATCACGGAGACGTGGCCAGGGCTGGAGAGGACCCCTGATACAGGAAGGACCCTCTCTCCCACCTCCCATCTCAGGTCAGGCCAGCCTGGGCCCAACCTCTATCCGCGCCAAGGTTCTAGGAACATCATAACCCTAGCCTGATCGCAGCGCTCCCGCGGCCTTCCTTGCTGGCCCTCACCAGTGCCAGTTGTTGACGTTGGTGGCGTCCGCCCGCTCCTCCACGATCCAGCGTGGGTCGCCCTCACCCCACTTGGCCATCGGCTCGCCTATCACGCCGCCACCAGCTCCCAAGCAGCCGCAGCCACAGCCACAGCCTCAGGACCGCTCGGTCCCAGCCGCCCGGCAGCGCCTGGAAACTACTAGAAGCGGCCGCAACACCTCCCGGCTTGCTTTTCCCTCCACCCCCACCCCCTCCCCGCCTTGACTTCCGGCTCCTCCCCACGCCTCCCGGCTACTTCCGTTCCAGCTCGGCGAAGCGGAGGTTCCGCCTGTTCTAGAGTTCCTTCAAAACTCCCTCAGGTAACCTCAAAGGGGCACGAAATCCAGCTCCTCACAGTGCCCTTCCTCACCCGGAGGGACACAAAGATCATGTCTCTTTGTTTCCTTGGACCCTAAATCGGCCTTGCTGTGCCTGATGGGAGTTGTAGTCTCGTTAATTGACCCTCTGGCTAACTGCGGAAGGTCGAGTTGAAAGTAAAAGAAATGACGTAGCATGGAGCGCTGGGGTTTCTGGGGGCGGTAGTCAAAAAACCCCATAGTCTACTGGGACAGCAAAGGTCAAGGAACTACAAATTCCAGGATGCTCTGGAATGTCTCACCTCTTTACGGGTGAGTCCCCCGTGACTGTCGTCTTCCGCCCTTTCTCTATGCCGCACTGCCTGCTTAAAAAGGCTGGTCGGGAGGCTGAGGCCGGCGCTGTCCTGAGAGGGAGGGCTCGGTGTGGAAGAGGTGAGGGTGTCCCAAGACCTTCGGCTGCGTATACGGCGGAGTCGACCCTCTCCGCATCCTAATCCTCTTCCCCTCTTCTCTGAGGCATCTCTACACCCCCACCTCCGGCCTGACTAGAAGTCAGGCCACTCCTTGGAGACAGAGTTCGCTTGGAGTTGGGGCTTGCAGTGAGCCCCAGCGTGTAGCGCAGAACCTGACTTTTGGTACTGAACGGACATTTTCTCTCCCTGGGACCCTCCGGGTTCTGCTGACTGCGGTGGATTCGTGGTTTCCTGGATGTTCGCCCGTAGTCATGCTGTTTTAATCCACATTGTCTAGTCTCAGTTCACAAACCTCACCTTGAAACCGAGTCTAACTTCTCAGTTGCTGGTTTCTAGTGTCCTGAAACGGGGAACGTCTTGGTTATGTGTATTGCCTGATCTCCTCTGTTTTCCTACGTCGTGTTCTGTTCTTCCCTCAGAACTGTCACCCTGTCTTGTGGGTTCTCAGTAGACAGGGGACAATAAGGTCAAGGCTCTGAAGTATATTTTAGATCATGTTGAAGCACCTTTCTTAGTCATGCTTCACTTGTAATAATTGCTTTGTAACCTCTAGAGCTATTAAATCATTATCATTTGCCAAGTAAATCTAGCTTCTCATTTGGTATTAGAAGTACAAATTGATTATTAGGTGTCCACTGTCACTGAGTGGTTAAAAAAAAAGATCCCAGAGCCGGGAGCCGGTGGCTCACGCCTATAATCCTGGCTACTCAGGAGGCAGAGATTAGGAGGATCGCGGTCCATGCCAGCTCAGACAAATATAGCGGAAAAAAAAAACACCCATCACCAAAATGGGCTGGTGGAGTGGCTCAAGGTGTAGGCCCTGAGTTCAAGATCCGTTACCGCCAAAAAAAAAAAAAAAAGCCAGAAATTCTCTGGTGGAGTAGTGTGTTTGTTAGATACATTCTGTGCTCATCTGTAGATACTTAAAATAGTGAAGATCTACCCTAGATTTCTCAAGGGTGAGAAGTAGGTAGTTAGAAGGACCATGGAAGTCAGAGGAAATAGTCCTGAAGCCAGAAAGCCTGAATTGTAGTCTGGAATAGGAGTGATTAACAAAGTTGCTTTGATAGTTAATCCTTTTGTGCATCATTTTCCTTATCAGTGAAGTGGAAATGGAATCTGCCACGCCTACCATACTGGATTGTTCTGAGGGTCAAATGAATGACAAAGTACTTGATGAAATTATACATGTGCCACAGACATATTTATATGTTCTGTACACATCTTTGATACTTGTGACCACTTCAGAATTTTTTAAATCTTTAGCAAGCTTCTTGCAAGGTATCTTGATTAATTAGTAAAAGTTAATTGTGGGCATTGACTTTCTGCCAGACACTAAGCGATTTACACATATTATCTGGCTTAATCCTCATAAAAATCCTATAAAGTAGGTCATCTGTTTTGTCCCTTTTACAGATGTTGACAGAAGATGTTGCTAAGATAACCAATACTAAAAGGAGGTGAAATTTATTAATTGCTTTCTGTGAGGCACTCTGTTAAGTTCTTCACCATGACCCATAAGGTAGGATATTATTTTCTCCAAGGTTTAGAAGTAAAGTCTTTATTTAGTTTGCTCAGAATTGGAGAGGTCAAGGCTGCTTAATTACAGTTTTATGCTTGTACCACTATGAGGAATGATTTTATTGAGTCTTTCAGCTTTTTTATTGGTGTTTGATTCCCTAGAATTAAATATAGAAAGGGATTTTTTTTAAAAAGCCACCTTTGGATTCAGTAGGAATCTGTGGTATCTGCTGTAAGAAAGGACCAGATAGCAGAAGTTTCCCACCATACCTTTGCCATCCTTATATTTTCTGAATAGGAATTAGGGAGTGAGTATAGAGTTATTAAGGGCCACCAAAAGCCTCAATAGGGTTTCCATGGTGTGTGTTTCTAAAACTTTTATTGAAAAAGGTGCTGTTGAGATGAAAAGCAACCTGATTCATTAGAATTTGATTTTGGATTTACTATTAGTGCTGTGAAAATTTTGGTACTTAGTTCTTGGCCTAAACCATAGTTTTCACTCTAATCCAGTTGGCATTGATAGTTTAGTTTGTAATTGTAGAGAAAACCTTGTTTTCACAGGGTGAGATCTAATTTTAGAGTAGTTATGAAAAGGACTTGTGGTCTTTTGACTAATTCTTACTATTTTCTATTCTTGGTCATGCTCGTTTTCTGAATAATGATCAAGTTGTTAATAAAATAATCACAACTTGAAGATATTGGCAAGATAATTCTGCTTTTAGTTGCTTTCATTCTTTTAGGGATTTAAAAAGCATACACAAGAGTGAGATACCTGCCAGTTTTATTTACTGTAGTATTCCCAGAGCCTAGAACAGTGCCTGAGAGATGGATGGCACTCAGTAGGAACATGGTGTATACATAGATGTAGTTATTGTGTTTTGTGTGTGCTTTTATTGATCTTTGTGTTTTCAACAAAATTTGTGATGAATTCATACAGCATTTGCCTGCCTTATGTTATTAACCTTTACACATACCTATGCTGAATCCTTCAGCAGAAGGATTGTGTCTTGTACTTTTAATAACCCTTACAACATCTGAAAGAGTACCTTGAACAAAGTAGAGGTTCTGGGAATGAATGACTATTTCTGGGTAACTAGAGAATCAAAACTATGATACAATCTGTTGGAAACCTCCTTTTATATGGCAGACTCAGTATTTGTCTTACCAGATTCTTTTCTACACACCTGACTTCTGGAGCAGTTAGTAGTGAAGATTGGGACTCTTTTGGGAGGGTCCCAGAGAGAACCATGCATCTGTTTTCCTCTCCAGATGAATCGGACAAAGGGTGATGAGGAGGAATACTGGAACAGCTCCAAGTTCAAGGCTTTCACCTTTGATGATGAAGATGATGAGCTCTCACAGGTAGGTTTCCACAAACAACTGCTGAAGGTCATACTTATTATAGAAGTATAATATCACGTGAAATTTCTTCTTACATTCTGGGTAACCTGGCTTTTGACTGTGTCTCCATTAGGTCCATAAATGATTTAGGCCAGATCTTTTGTGTTAGTTTTCTGTTCCTATAACAAAATACCTGAGTTGGTAGAGTGGCTCAAGTAGTAGAGTACCTTCCTAGCAAGCATCTGGCCCTGAGTTTAAACCCCAGTATCATAAAATGGAACAAAACAAAAACCTGAGATAATCAACGTATATAGAGAAAAAGTTTATTTTGGCTCATATTTTGGAGGTTCCAGACCATGACTGGTTGGCTCTGTTGCCTTGGGTCTGTGGTAAGGCAATACATCATGGTACAAGCACATGGCAGAACAAAGCCAGGAAGCAAAGAGGAGTAGGAGTGGGTAGGATTCCATAGTCCCCTTTGACGGGATCCCCCCAGTGAACTGAGGACCTCTCGGAAGGCCCCATATCTCATGGTGCTATCCAGGGACCATGCCTTTAACACATAGGCCTTTGGCAGACATGAAATGTCTGGATGAAACTATAGCAATATCTGTGGGAAAAAGTCCTCAGGAAAGAGCCAGAAAGATTGCAAAAACCAACTAACTCACTGCCCTTCATACTTTACCTTCTTAAGATGTTTCATTCCTTTCAGGTTTTTTTTTTTTTTTTTTTTTTTTTACCACCCGTCTTTTACTCATGTGATAAAATTTATTTATCTATCTATTTATTTATTTTTGAGATGGTGTATTGCTATATTGCCCATGCTGTTCTTGAACTCTTGGGCTCAAGCACTCCTCCTGCCTCAGCCTCCTTGGACACGTCCCTCTGTGCCCAGCAAATTTATTTTTGAGAGATGACCTGTATTGGAAGTTTCCAATATTGTAATCTATTTTTTTTTTTTTTGGTGCTATTGGGGTCAAAACTTGGACTACACCTTGAGCCACTCCACCAAGCCCTTTTTTTGAGATAGGGTCTCATGAACTGTTTGCCCAGGCTGGCTTTAAACTGCAGTCCTCTTGATCTCTGCCTCTTAAGTAGCCGGGTTTATGGTCATGAGCCACCAGTGCCTGGATATTGTAATATATTTTACAAAAGAGGAACCAGTCATTTTTGAAGAGGTTAATAAATTCACTTGGGTTAACACAGCAAGTCATTGCCAGAAATATGATTAGAACTAGAAAGTAGTTTTGATTCCTCCTAACTGTTTTGCCATCAGACTGCAATGCTGGCTAAAATGCAATTTGTTTTCTGGACAAATCCTGGTATGCTAGGCTTTGAATGCAGAGGGTGAAATTGCTGACCATCTTCTAGTCCCAGTTGCTCAGCCTTGGTTCTCAAAGAGAGAGGTCAGAAGTGGTGATTGCCTGAGTACCCTACTTTACGTCCCTCTGCAGTTAAAGGAATCTAAACGGGCAGTGAATAGCCTTCGAGACTTTGTGGACGACGACGACGATGATGACCTGGAGCGAGTCAGCTGGAGTGGGGAACCTGTGGGAAGTAAGTAAAAGAGGCCCTAGAGGTGATTGATAGTCAGGGTTGTTACTATTAAGGCTCCACTTGTTTGTCTCCCCAGTGCTAGTCAGAAAAGGCAAAGAGATTAGACTGTTACCAGATGAGGACACATCTGGAAGTTAAACCCTAGGAGAAGATGCTTGGGAAAATATGGTAATAGTTCCCATATGGCTTTTTAGATCTACTATGCTAGGGCTAATGCTTGGAGACTATTTCAGATTCATAGGGGTGCTTGTTAAAATACAGATTCCTAGGGTTTATCCAGAGATTCTTATTCAGTAGATTTGGGGGAGGATGGCCGAGAACTTTTCCTATTTGTTTTTGGTGCTAGCAATTGAACCCAGGGCCTTCAGCTCTACCACTGAGCTACACCCCCAACCCTGGGGTCGAAATCTTTAATAAATACTACAGATAACTTTAATATACAGTTATATTTGGGAAGTATTGACTTAAATACTCATAATTGGTTGGCAGAATTAACTTCCTTAGCCATTATGTAATACCACTTTTTTTCCTTTTCTTTTTTGTGTTACTGGGATTTGAACTCAGAGCCTTCACCTTGAGCCACTCCATCAGCCCTTTTTTGTGATGGGTTTTTTAAAATAGGGTCTCGAGAACTGTTTGCCTCGGCTGGCTTCGAACCACGATCCTCCTGATCTCCGCCTTCTGAGTAGCTAGGATTACAGACATGAGCCACTGGCGCCCAGCCTCACTTTTTTTTTTTTTATTATTGTGCTGAGTGGCCACTTAATACCTTTGTAGAGTTTGATATTTAAAGAAATAATTTTTTTTTTTTTTTGGAGGCCCTGGTGTTTGAACTCAGGGCCTCATGCTTATGAGGCAGGTGCTCTACCACTTGAGCCACTCCACTAGCCCCAGAAATATTTTTTTTTGGGGAGGTGGTGGGGAGCTGGCAGAGTGACTGAAGTGGTAAGATGTCTACCTAGCAAGCATGAGGCCCTGAGTTCAAATCCCAGTGCCACCAAAAAAAGTTTTTATTTTAAATACAAGATATTGTAATACTAAAAAATTTTTAAGATGCTGGATGCATTTCCCCTGTAATCCTAGAGGAGATCTGGAGGATTGCACAGTTCAAGGCCAGCCTGTACAAAAATTCATAAGACTCCATCTCAATCAATAAAAGCTGGGCACAGTGGTACGTGCCTGTCATCCCAACTCTGCAGGAAGCATACCTAGGAGGATCATGGTCCAGGCATAAATGCAAGACCCTATTTGAAAAATAGCTAAAATAAAAAAGGTCTGGGTGCATGGTTCATGTGGTAGAGTACCTGCCTGTCACAAGGCCCTGAGTTCAAACCCTAGGAACACACACACACACACACACACACACACACACACACACATACACACATGCACACGCACACGTGTGCAGGCACACACACACACATTTTTTTTAACAAAAAAAGTATTAAATGAGAAGTTTCTCTTCCATTCTGTCAGAATCTTCTCAGTTCTCAGTACCTGCTCTCCCCCAAACCAATCATTGTTGCTTGCTTGTATAACCATCTAAGTATTGTTTTGGATTTGGAAGTGCTTATAAGAATATTTATTTTTACCTTGCTGTAACAAGCAGTAGCATACTTTATACCTTGTTCTGTGACATTGTAACTTGGACATCTTTCCATATCAGTATATAAAAAGCTTTTTCATTCTGTTGCATTTTTTAAGCAGTAGCATAGTGTTATATTATATGGATTATCATAATTTATTTAACCAGTCCACTATTGATGAAATTTAGATTATTTCCAATGTTTTGTTTATATTTCTGTCCGTAACCTTGTGTTCTGACCACACGTGAGTAAATGAAAGATCAAGTCAAATAAGTGGCATAGGATGCTTGTATCACAATTGGATAGATACTGCTGAACTGCCCTCCACAGGGGTTGTATCAATTTGCACTCCCATTAGCAATGTAGAAGGGTTCCTGTTTTCCCACAGCCTTGTCTCCATGGGGTACCATAAAGTTTTAAGATCTTTGCCCATTTTTTAGGGAATCAATTATACTTTAAACTTGTGATACTATTAAGAGTGAAGTAGAGCATCTTTCATATGTTTAAAAGCCATTTGAGTGTCCTTTCCTGTGATCCAGTTATTCATGTCCTTTGCTCAATTTTGTGTTGATTATTTTTTTTTTTATGGTACTGGGGCTTGAACTCGGGGCCTACACCTTGAGCCACTTCACCAGCCCTTTTTTGTGTTGGGTTTTTTCGAGGTAGGGGCTCACAAACTATTTGCCCAGACTGGCTTTGAACCATGAATCCTCCTGATCTCTGCCTCCTGAGTAGCTAGGATTAAGGTGAGCCACCAGCGCCTGGCTGATTAATGTATTTGATTCTGTGTTTTCCCCTTGCCCCATGCTGACCAAAGGATCAGGGCCTCTATTGAAAAGCTTTGAGTTTGTTGAATGTTGGATTTCAAGGGTTTCTGTTGTATGAGATTTACTGATTTAGTTCCTACCATCCTGCAGGTATCTCATGGTCCATCAAAGAGACTACTGGTAACAGTGGGTCAGCCCATGATGTACGTGAACAGCTAAAAGGCCGAAACAGCTTCTCCTCCTATGCACAAATACCCAAACCAACTTCTACCTACTCCCTGAGCAGCTTCTTTAAAGGTAAAGAGTGATGGTTAAGGGACAGGAAAGTCTTTCTTTTTTTTTTTTTTCAGAAAAACACTCAGGCTATAATTTTCATTAACTCTGGAAGGAAAAGATTATTGAAGGATAATGGATTATCATTGGAACTAGCAGCTGAGAATTAGGGATGGGAGAACTGAGAGAAATTCATAGGCATTATAATGGCTTTCTAGAATATGATGAGTAAAACTGATACTTACCCTGTGATAGGTACTGAAGAAATTTGCCTACATTAAAGTTCCTCCATGGCTCTTGTGTAGTGCTTTGGGGAACCCTTGTGCATTGCTGGTGGGAATGTGGTCACTATGGAAGATAGTGTGGCAGTTTCCCAAAAAAATTAAATATAAAATGATCATATGGTCCTGTAGCTTCACTTCTAGGAAGATACCAAAAAGAATTGAAAGCACGGACTTGAACAGATGTTTGTACACTGTATGTAGCAGCATTTTCCACAATAGCCAAAAGATGGAAGCAGCCCATATGTTCACCAAGGGGTGAATTGATAAACAAAATGTGGTATATGCATGCAGTGGAATGTTATTCAGCCATAAAAAGGTATGAAATTCTTATACATGCTACAATGTGGATAAACCTTGAGGACATTATGCTAAATAAAATAAGAAAGACACAAAGGACAAATACAGTGTGACTCCATTTATATGAGTACCCAGAACAGGCAGATTCATAGACACAGAAAGTGGAAGAGTGACCAAAGGTTGGGAATGGAATGGTTAGTTGCTGCTTAAAGACAGAGTCTCAGTTTGGGATGATGAAAAAGTTTTGTGGATGGACAGTGATAGTGGTTATACAACAATGTGAATGCACTTAATGCTACTGAATTATACACTTAAAAATGATGTTAACCCTGGCTAGCCAGCCCAATAAACTCTGCTTTGTTGATTGCAAAAAAAATGATGTTAATAGTGCCTTAGATTTTGAAGTCAAGTAAAAGCTTTTTTAAACTTGTATTGCATAATAAGATTTTATGTATCCTGTGTCCTTAACCAAGCCTAGGTGGCTTTGACTTGAGCTCTTTTGACCTCTTCTCTTTGTGTTCTTTACCCATAGGTAGAACTAGACCTGGAAGTTTCCAGTCTCTTTCTGATGGTAGGCATTGGACCCCTTCTCCTGATTGCTTTGGGAGATGTTGCTGATCTGGGGTACAGTATGGGGAGTCAAGGGGACATGTCATTAGATGAGTAAATGAACTTTCTTCTCAATCTACTGTAATTACTAAAGAATTTTTCTCATGCTAAAAGGTAGAAATCATTCGGGTTATAGAGGCAAGAAGAGACTTTTAGGGATGCTGGCTTGGGGAAGAACTGAGATCTACTTTTGTCCATAAAGATACCTTGGAGGCCACAAGTCTAAAACAAATGCATGTGAAAAGAAGCAGTAGAGGAAAGTGACAATAAACAGGACTCATGATGCCTTTTTGAACCAGCTGTCTGTTCTTTTTCAGCTCTGTCAGATACACCTGTCAAAAGCTATGCTCCAGAGCTGGGGAGGCCCAAGGGGGAGTATAGGGTAAGTTATATCTTAATACTGGTGGGGTATTTTACACAGTAAAAAGTGCCTTCACATATGTTACCTTGCTTAATTTTCCCAACTCTTTAAGAATTATTATTATTTGGCAGCATTAGGGTTTGAACTTAGGACCTCACACTTGAAAGGCAGGTACTCTTACCTCTTGAGTCACTCCACCAGCCCTATAATAAAGAGTGTTATATATTATGTGTTTTGTTTTTTGCAGCACTGGGGTTTGAACTCAGGGCCTCATGCTTGCTAGGCAGGCACTCTGTTGCTTGACCCACTCTGCCAGCCCAATTTTCCCAACTCTCTGAGTAGATAGTTATAGTCATGTGACACTTAATGACAGGGACACATTCTAATTTTCTGGGTGATTTTATCATTATGCAAACATCATGGGTATACTTACACAAACCTAGATTGTTTAGCCCATTACACACCTAGCTATATGAGACAGCTTATTGTCTTTAGGCCATAATCTTGTACAGCATGTTACTGTACTGAATGCTTACTGTAGACCCATGTTGCACAATTTGTATATCTAAACATAGAAAAGGTAAAGTGAAAATATTAGGTAAAGCCAGCATGGTGATGCATGCCTATAATCTCAGCACTTGGGAGACAGAGGCAAGAGGATCATGAATTCATGGCTACATAGTGGAACCCTGTCTCAGACAAGCCCCAGCAAACCAACAAGAACAACAAAATAGTAGCCATAAGAATTTTTTATCTCCATTATAATCTTACAGGTCCACCATTGCATATGTGGTCCATTGCTGACAAAAACATCATTATGCAGCCCCCTTTTATAGATAAGAAAACTTGGTTTCACAATAATCAGCTTGCTTGGGATCTCACAGCTAGGAAAGGGTAGAACTTGTACTCAGAATCTATATTTCTGACTCAAACCTAGCATCCTTTTCTTACCCATTATGTCGCCTTTTGAAGGCTGTGCCTTGAAATTCCATGGTCAACCACTGTAGTCTGAAAGCTACATTGGTGCATTGGAAGCATATAAGAAAGCAAATTGATTCATAAGGAAGAAATCATATTCTAAGACCCAAAAAAAAGTATATCTCAAATGTCTCTCTTTTCTTTTCTTGGCCAAAGGTATTAATTATGAGGATCTCAAAATGTGACTTAGGGGTTGAAATCCTGAACCAGTAGGCATGGAATTACTCGTTTTGTCAATTGATTTATCTCTGTTTAATCCATCTCTTCCTACCTGTATTACCCCTAGTCTAATTCCTTCAGAAACCCAAAACCAAACCATTCTATTTCCCTTTAGTTTCTTTCCACAAACTATTTTCTCCTTAAGGACAAAGACTGAGTTTGAGGTGAGGAGCTGGTACACTGATAATTCTGATCTCTTAACTTCCTGGGATTCATGTGTTGCTGATATTTCAGGATTACAGCAACGATTGGAGTCTCAGTGACACTGTGCGACGCCTCCGGAAGGGCAAGGTAAGGCCACAAAAGAGAGAAGCCTTGCTTGGTAGGCATTCTGCCACTTGAGCTACCCACCCAGCCTAGAGAGAGAATTCTTGTGGGATTCTTTGGTAAGCTGGATTGGTTGTTCTTACATGGGAAGGTTTGTTGATCTCTCCAGTTCTCATTTGCTAAAGGAAATAATTTTCAGGAAGAAATGAAATCCACTAAAGTTGAAAAGTAACGTAAAAATGTTGACTATCCAGGGTTAAGTGTTGTTTTGACAGGGTAGAGAGAAAATGGTGATTGAGAGGGAAAAGTACATTTTAAGAGTGAAAATAGAGACCCACCCAGATGCTTGTGAGAAATACCCATTGCCATGTCCCAGGCTGTGACTCCCCACCAGGAGGGTGCTGTGTTCTGAAGCTCCCAGGTCACATCTCATCTGTCTTCCTGGACTCCCTTCTCCTGCACACACCGAGCGCCTCACTTTTCCTGGACATCACCTGCACACCTTACACATGGATGTGAAATCGCCAAGTCCCTATCAGAGAAAGGCAATGCGCCCCGTAGAAAAGAGGACAGGAGGGATTCCAAGATGGCGGTTAGAGGGAGGAAGCAGAAAGTGTGCCTCTTACAGTGAAATCTTGGAGAAATGCTGGAGACACACCTTGCAGGCAAGGCCACTGAGAAGAGGCAAAACTTTGACCCCTCCACACTTCCAGCCTACACAGAGAATCTCCATTTCATGTTAAACAGAGAAACCAGGAGGGCCCCTGGGCCGCCAGTCGCCTGCGCCCAGACGGCTTGGGAAGACCCAGACAAGGTGAGCTAAGTGGTACATGGTACTCCCACAGACAACCCTGGGCCAGATCAGCATAGCCCCCGGACAGACCGACCCCTACCTGGGGAAAAAAGAGAAACTGAGTAATAAGCAATAAAAACAATAAAGACACGTAGCAAAGAGGGTGGGGTGCCCTGAGCTCCAAAGAGGGGGGGAGGGGAATCCTTCCAGGAACTGTAAATAAACAAGCCAGGCCTCTCTGGAGAGGCTCTGGCGGGAGCGGGGGCGTGTGCCCAGCAACCAGGAGCGGGAAAGCTTGTAAAAGCAGCGGTGGGAGGAAAACTCCACAGGAGAGGGGGAAGACTCACTTCCCATGTGAACTGTAAATAAATACGTAGGCCTGAGAAAGCGGGTGCAGTGTCACCTCACCCAGTGTGCTGGAAAGGGGAAAGGTTGTAGCAGCGGCTGGCACACAGGACTCTGAGTAAACAAAGCCTGCGGCCAGAGGAGTGTTAAGCTCACTCCTGAGATCTGCATAAATAACGTCTCCAGCAACAGCAGGCTGACAGCAGTGGGCAGGCAAGCCACAGCTGCAGATAGCCATTCACAGACCTGTCTCCAGACATTTTTTTTCTCTCTCCCTACCTTTGATGAGAAAACAACTGAACTACACCTGCATGCTGAAAAACTTACTGAAACTGTATTGCATTTGAACTTGGTACACTTGGTGTGCTTTGTGTGTGTGTGTGTGGTGTGTGTGTGTGCGTGTGTGCAGTTTTGTTCTACTTTATGTCTCCCCTTTGATGAGACAACTACAGAACAACATCTGAGGCACCATCTCCAGGATTGCAGGCTGAGGGACGAACACCAAAAGTATTGAGACTGAAATTTCATTGCATTTGAACTTGGAGGTTTTTATTTTTTAGTTTTTAGTTTTTTATTTTATATATATATATTTTTTCTTTCATTTACTTATTTTTTTATTTTTATTCTTACCTTTACTCTCTTTATTTTTTATTTTCAATCCTCTCTTTGTCTCTCTGATGCCTTTTCAGCTTATGGTTGATTAGTACACTGTCTTTCCCTGTTTATTTGTTTTTCCCTTTTCCTTTAACTTCTTTGCTTTCCATTGCCTCTCACCCTTCCATTCTAAATATCACTAGTGCTATTATTACAAGCCATAAAATACTTAATTGCACACAGTACAGGGATAATAACAATATCAAGGGCAATGATGGGAAGACAGAAAAACAGGAAAACCAGTTTCCCCATAGCAAAAAATTAGTACAGGAACCAGAGGGAAATGAAGAAAACAGATACTCAGATCCAGACTCCAACAAAATGAAGAGAACCTATGCCAAAGAACCCAATGAAGACCACAAGAATAATTTAAAAGAAGACATACTACAGGTAATCAATGAGAATTTTATAGAGATGATACTGGATTATGGTCAACCAAAATGTACAGAAGACACTGCAAAAATTCCAAACGAACAACAAAATAGAGGAATTTGAAAAAAAGCAAAAGAATGAAATAACGGAAAACCATAGAAGCACTGTATAAACACAAAGTGAAACAGAGAACACGATTAATAAAAGATAAATGAACTAAGGACAAAAATAACGACATACCTTTAAAGAGGAAACAACCCAGGATATGAAAACTCAGAAAAAAAAGAATGAACCAGAATTGCAAAAACAAAAACGGAAGGCCAATCCAGCGAATAGAAAAACAGAAAGCAGACTCTCAAACTTGAAGATGAAATGGAATTAAAGGAAATACTCAACAAATAATGGCAAACCGAATTCAACAACACATCAAAAAGATTTATTCACCACAAACCAAGTAGGCTTCATCCCAGGAATGCAGTGGTGGTTCAACACAGAAAATCAATAACGTAATAAGGCCACATTAACCAGAAGGAAAGAAAAAACTATCTTGATTCATCTCAATAGATGCAGAAAAAGCCTTGATAAGATCCCAACCCATTTCATGATAAAAAGCTCTAGGAATAGAAGGAAGTATCTCAACATTATAAAAGCTATATATGACAAATCCTACAGCCAGCATATACTTAATGGAGAAAAACTGAAAACCATCCCTCTAAAATCAGGCCAGACAAGGATCCTATCTCCACTCCTATTCAACATAGTACTGGAATTCCTAGCCAGAAGCAATTAGGCAAGAAGAAGGAATAAAAGGAATACAAATAGGTAAAGAAACTGTCAAAATATCCCTTATTTGCAGATGACATGATCTGATCCTAAAAGGACCCAAAAAACTCTCTACTCAGAAGCTGCTAGACTCCATCAATAGCTATAGCAAGGTAGCAGGATATAAATCGACATAGAAAAATCATTAGCATTTCTATACACTAATAATGAACAAACTGAAAAAGAATGTATGAAAACAATTCCATTTACAATAGCCAAAAAAAATCAAATACCTAGGTGTAAACCTAAAAAAGATGTGAAAGATCTCTACAAGGAAAAACTATAACACTTCTGAAGAAAGAGATTGAGGAAGACTATAGAAAGTGGAGAGATCTCCCATGCTCATGGATTGGTAGAATCAACAGTAAAAATGTTACTCCCAAAAGTAATCTACATGTTTAATGCAATTCCATCAAAATTCCAATGCATTCATTAAAGAGATTGAAAATCTGTTAAATTTATATGGAAACACAAGAGGCCACGAATAGCCAAGGCAATACTCAGTCAAAAACAATGCTGGAGGTATCACGATACCTGACTTCAAACTATATTACAAAGCAATAACAATAAAAACAGCATGGTACTGGCACAAAACAGACATGAAGACCAGTGGAACAGAATAGAGGACCCAGATATGAAGCCACACAACTATAACCAACTTGTCTTGACAAAGGCTAAAAATATACGATGGAGAAAAGCAGCCTCTTCAACAAAACTGCTGGGAAAACTGGTTAGCAGTCTGCAAAAAACTGAAACTAGATCCATGTATATCACCCTATACCAAGATTAACTCAAAATGGATCAAGGATCTTAATATCAGACCAAACTCTTAAAGTTGATACAGGAAAGAGTAGGAAATACTCTGGAGTTAGTAGGTATAGGTAAGAACTTTCTCAATGAAACCCCAGCAGCACAGCAACTAAGAGATAGCATAGATAAATGGGACTTCATAAAACTAAAAAGCTTCTGTTCATCAAAAGAAATGGTCTCTAAACTGAAGAGACCACCCACAGTGGGAGAAAATATTTGCCAGCTACACATCAGACAAAGGACTGATAACCAGAATATATAGGGAACTTAAAAAATTAAATTCTCCTAGAACTAATGAACCAATAAAGAAATGGGCAAGTGAACTAAACAGAACTTTCTCAAAAGAAGACATTCAAATGGCCAAAAAACACATGAAAGAATGCTCACCATCAATAAAGGAAATGCAAATTAAAACCACACTAAGATTCCACCTCACCCCTGTTAGAATAGCCATCATTAGCAACACCACGAACAACAGGTGTTGGCGAGGATGCGGGGAAAAAGGAACCCTCTTACACTGTTGGTGGGAAATTAAAACTAGTACAACCACTCTGGAAAAAAATTTGGAGGCTACTTAAAAAGCTAAACATTGATCTACCATTTGATCCAGCAATACCACTCTTGGGGATATACCCAAAAGACTGTGACACAGGTTACTCCAGAGGCACCTGCACACCCATGTTTATTGTGGCACTATTCACAATAGCCAAGTTATGGAAACAGCCAAGATGCCCCACTAATGATGAATGGATCAAGAAAATGTGGTATCTATACACAATGGAATTTTATGCAGCCATGAAGAAGAACGAAATGTTACCATTCGCTGGTAAATGGATGGGATTGGAGAACATCATTCTGAGTGAGGTTAGCCTGGCTCAAAAGACCAAAAATCGTATGTTCTCCCTCATATGTGGACATTAGATCAAGGGCAAACCCAACAAGGGGATTGAACTTTGATCACAATAAAGCGAGAGCACACAAGGGAGTGAGGATAGGTAAGACACCTAAAAAAATTAGCTAGCATTTGTTACCCTAACGCGAGAAACTAAAGCAGATACCTTAAAGCAACTGAGGCCAATAGGAGAAGGGACCAGGAACTAGAGAAAAGGTTAGATCAAAAGATTAACCTTAGAAGGTAACACACATGCACAGGAAATTAATGTGAGTCAACTCCCTGTGTAGCTATCCTTATCTCAACTAGCAAAAACCCTTGTTCCTTCCTATTATTGCTTATACTGTCTCTTCAACGAAATTAGAGTTAAGGGCAAAATAGTTTCTGCTGGGTATCGAGGGGTTGGGGGGGAGAGAGAGGGGGCGGAATGGCGTGGCTACAGGGAGGGTGTGGGGCACATGGCGGCGCGAAATGACCCCAAGCCTTGTAATGGCCACATATGAAACTAAAACAATAAAAAAAAAAGTGAAAATAGCGGGCTGGTGGAGTGGTTCAGGTGGTAGGGCACCTGTCTAGCATGTGTGAGAACCTGAGTTCAAATCCCAATACCAAAAAAAAAAGAAAAGGTTGTATTTTTAGAGCTCTAATCCATATATGGTGTGAAATAAGGATTGAAGTTCATTTGCTAATTTTTTTTCCTATGTAGATTCCCATTTTTTTTAGCAACATTTGTCCTTACTGATTAACTTGGAATCTTTTTTGATCAAGTGATCACCACCTCTTGGACCTTCTATTCCTACGTTCATTGATTGTTCCCTATCCTTCTAACAAATACCGAGTCAATCACACCCAGCAGTCTTGCATTATGTAACCGCACGAGCTTTGAATACTGTACAATGTTGACAGCTCAGTAACTGCAACTCTTTTTTTTTTTTCTTTCTTTCTTTTTTTTTTTGTGGTAGTAGGGTTTGAATTCAAGACCTATACCTTGAGCCACTCCATCAACCCTTTTTTGTGGTGATAAAAAACACCACAAAAAGTTTGTGAGATAGGGTCTCACAAACTGTTTGCCTGGTGGGCTGGCTTTGAACTGTGATCCTCCTGATCTCTGCCTCCTGAGTAGCTAGGATTACAAGCGTGAGCCACCATCACCTGGATAACTTCAACTCTTTTGACGTTTTCAGCCTTTAATTTTGTTCTTTGCTTCCAAAGTTGTTCTTACCATTCCAGATCCTTTATGTTTTTGTATAGATTGTAGTATTAGCTTATCAGTGTCTACAGAAGTGCTGTGGGATTTTGATTGTAATTTTGTTGAATCTTTAGATTAATTTTGGGGGAATTAACATCATAATAGCTAATAGGTAAAAATGGATTGTATACCTGAATGTAAGTGCTAAGCCTACAAACCTTCTAGAAGAAAATATAGATGAAATCCTTGTGACCTTGAGTTAGGCAAAAATGTATTCCCTAGGACACAAAAAGCATGAACCATAAAATAAGAAAAATGATAAAAATGGATTTTGTCAAAATTGAACACTTCTGGTGTTTTAAAAACACTGTTAAAAATGTGAAAAAGGCCATTAGTAGGAAAAAAATTCACATAGTTTAAGGGACTTTTGTTTAGAATCTATAAAGAATTCTTATCACTCAGTGATAAGACAGATGACCCAATAAAAAATTGGCACAAAATTTGATCAGACATAAAAGTTACACATATAGCCAATAGCACTTGAGAAGATGGTGAACATTATAGTTATCAAAAAGTGTGAATTATATCAGGCATGGTATAATTGGGAGGCTGAGGCAGGAGAAATGTGAACTGGGCCCAATGTGTGAAAAATAGTGAGACCCTATCTCAAAGAAAAAAAAAAAAAAAAAAAACAATTACTACTATCAAATGGGGACTGTTTGGGGAGGGGAACCAGTAGGAGGTAGGCGGGCAAAAGGAACAGGTGATGTGGGCAATTATGATCCAAGTACTTTATATGCATGTGTGAAAATAGAATAATGAAACCAGTTAAAAATTGGCAAAGGATAGGCATGTTGGCTCACACCTGTAATCCTAGTTACTTGGGAGATAGAGATTGGGAAGATCACGATTTAAGGTCATCCTGGGCAAAAAGTTTTCAAGACCCCCACCTCAACAAATAAGCCAGGCATGGTGGGCTTTCTGTAATCCCAGCTATGTGTGCAGTATAGGTGAAAGGGTCACAATTCCAGGCTGGCCCCAGTCAAAAAGTGAGACTCTTAACTGAAAACATAGCTAAAATGGCTGGGGTATGGGTGCAGCTTAAGTTGATAGAGTGCCCATGTAGTAAGTGTTAGGCCCTAAATTCATACTCTAGTACCACCAAATATAGACAGGTGATAGATAGATAGGCTAATAAAGTGGGGCAGGGAGACAAGAAAAAACAATAGCAGAGATGAATTTGATCAAAGTACATTATATCCATGTATGGAAATACCACAACGAAACAACACATGAACATACAAAGATTTATGCGTATTTATTCATAGCAGCTCTATCCATGGAAGCTTCCGAAGTTTAAACCACCCAAATGTCTATTATCAGGTAAACGGATAAATAATGGAAACCCTCTTGGCAATAAGTAGGAATAAACTAGTAATACACAGGGTAACACATGGTTTAATCTCAGATACACGAGTGAAAAGAAAAGTACATACATGATGGTATTTTTATGAAATTCTAAGAAAGGCAAAATTAGAGTGACGAAAAACAGATAGCTGCATGATTGTCAGGGAACAAAGGGACCATTTTGGTGTGATGGAAATGTTCTATATGTTTGTTGTGGTAGTAGTTTTATGAGTGTTTTATACTTTTCAAAACTCACTGAACTCTGTACACTTAAAGATAGAGTTTATTGTCTAAATTACAAACCTTATTTTAAAAAGAACAAGTTATTTCTGTCGACTTTGTCAAGACTTCAGGATGTTAGCATCTTGTAGGGCATTAGATTGAACTAGGGAGGGTGTGGTGGGAACCACATGGTTCTGGGAACCATGGTGTAAGCATAAACAAGCTGTTCTTGGGGACATTTCCTTTCATTGTTACCCATTCCTTACTCTCTAGTGACAAAGGAATATAAGAAGCTGTCTTCTTTCTTAATACCCTAACTCCTTATGTTTTTCTGCCAGGTCTGCTCACTAGAAAGATTCCGCTCCTTACAGGACAAGCTACAACTCCTAGAAGAGGCAGTCAGCATGCATGATGGAAATGTCATTACTGCAGTGAGTGGAGGGTCTTCTTGTTGTTTGTTGTTTTTATTAGTTTCTAAAAATCCAACCAGAATTGACTTTAACATTTTGGGTTAACTGTCAAATAAAGACCCTGGCTTTCCCCTTGAAGTATATGATCCTCAGCAGTCTACACTCCAAGGCTCAGCTGGTGGGACATGACCAGACAATAAAAGATTGGCTATTCTATGTTATATAAAAAAAATCTGAGGGAGGAGAGACATGAGAGTTCTCTCTCAGCCAATAGGCATGTGGACTCCTAAGACACAGCTCAGTTCTAACTGTCCATCACCTTTTCTTCCATCCCACTGAGAGATCTGTTGTCTCCCTGCAGAGATTTCTGATGATTTGCTGGCCTCACTGGTAGACATCAGGAGATCAGGGCAGAGCTCTGTGTTTGAAAGGCTGCACATTCTTTGTTCCCTTTCCTTTAGGTCCTGATCTTCCTGAAGAGGACACTGAGCAAAGGTGAGCATGGTTGAAGGAAATCTTCACTCAACAAGGTATCTGCTACATTTGAGGGGAGGATGGCTTGTGGCTTTCATACCAGAATTCATCAGCATCAAGTCTGGTTCAGAATCGGCTGAGGTGGTCTGGGGACTTCAGAGCACATTTGTACCACTGAGGGCCTCTTTTAAAGTAGTAACTATGTTAACTACCAAGCCCTCTCTATTGTATAGACAGATGGCTGTATTTGTGGAAGTAAGAATCCATGCTAATTGCCTACTCTGTTGGTGGTAACTGAACAGCTGACTCAATGGCTCTGAGTTGCTGTGGACCATAGAGGTTGAGGTGGGAGTAAACCATTCTTATCTTTTTGCTGGGTTTGAGGAGATAATATTTGGAATGTGTGAGTAGGGAGGCCAGTTTCACACCTGAGTAATAGGCTTGACTCTTCTCCACCTAACTTCTGTTTCCTGACTGCCACAGAGATCCTCTTCCGAGAGCTGGAGGTGAGACAGGTTGCCCTGAGACATCTCATTCACTTCCTTAAGGAAATAGGTGACCAAAAGCTGCTTTTAGATCTCTTCAGGTAAGACTGATTCTCTGGTCTATAAAGTTTATTAAGTATTTTTTCAAAGTCTTCTTGGGAATACAAAGAAATAAAAGATAGGTCCCTTTTCTAGAAACACTTAAAAGACAAGATACAGAAATGTTACAGGATAACAAACAATACTCCACAGTCCATAGTAAGGTATAGTAGGGTGGTAAAGAACCAGGCTCTGGCATGTCAAACATGCCTTTATTGAATACAGATTCTACCACTTAGTTTATAGATCTTGAGCAAATTACCAAACTTCTCCAAGCATCAGTTTTCCCATATGTAAAGTGGAACTGCTACCTACCCCACAGGGTCATTACGAAGACTGAAAGAGTTAGTGTGTGAGCTAGCACCTAACAAAATACCTGATCTGTTGTAATAATTCATTAAGCAGTATCTTATAAAATACATAGATTAAAGGTATCTTTTATTATTTAGTCCCAAGTGATGCCAATGAGAAGTAAAGTAGAAGAGAAAAAGAAGAAACTAATTTTTCAGTCTACGTACAGGAGAGTCTCAGAAATTATTAGGATTTGAATGGGACCTATGACGCTAGGTAGGATTCTGATACATGGAAGGTAGACTGTATCTGCTAGGGTTTAATGGGGACTGTTTTCCACCCTTGTATTAAAATGTGAATATGTTTTATCCTTCAGTGTCAGAGAAGAGGTTCGAACCTCTGTTTAGGCTCTTTGGCCAGGGTAACCATCTATTCAGTGGCTGGAACAGTGATGAACTGCCCAGAGACTTAGTGGAGAAAGCAGGTTGCCTTGGTGGGGTCAAGATTATAGGCGGTTAGCTAGGAATTTGCTCATGGAGGTAGGCTGTTTTCTCTCTCTCCCTCTTCTTCTTTCTTTCCCATTCAACAAGGCCACAGCAGTGTTGTTAATTATAACTATTCAGAGTAAGGCAGAACCAGAAGACAAAAGTCCTTGAGCTTTAAGACCTTATCTAAGCCTTTGGGGGAGTCCAAGTACATTGTACTCTGTACTCAAAAACAATAAAGAGTAATATAGAATATGTTTCAGAGGACTGTGCTTTAATTTTCAATAAATAAGTGAATAAACAAGGAAACAACATTATTGTAAGGTGGAGTAGATTTTAAGCTCTTAGTGCCCTGCAGTATCTTCTCGTCCTTACTTTTCAAGTTCAGCTCAAAAGATCAGAGAAACAATGATTTGTGAACTACCAAGTATTTTGAAGGGGTTCCTGATGGATAAAGAGAAATGAGCTTGAATTGTTTCTCCTAGAGCCATCACCCTGTTTTGTGAGGTTAATTGTCAACACATCAATAGATAAAAATGCCCTGCTCCCTTCTGTTTCTTCCCAGGTTCCTAGATAGAACAGAAGAGCTGGCGGTAAGTGTGGCCTTTGTTTCAGTTAGGGACCTGTTTAACAGATATCTCAGCCAAAACCCATTCTCCACAATCCCAGATTGTTAGAACTATTTTCTTTCCTTTGTATTGATTATATCTAGAAGAGAGGCATCTAGGAAACATGAAAACTGAATCCAAATAGTGTATCATTTTGTTTCTTTTTACAAACTCGTTTGATTAGGCTTATGCATAAGTTTTATTGAAAATGAATGGAAAGTGGCCTGATCAATTTCTTCTTTGTTTCTCAAATGTTTTCAAGTCCCGGTTTGTAGGAGTTTTGGGTTTTGGCTTCTAACACTAAACAAAATGTGAATGCTAAGAGAATAATAAACCAGATACAGGTCAAGAAGAAAGAAGAGTTAGGCTGGTGGTGCACCCAGTACACATTTTGATTGAGAGCTTAGTAGCCAAGTGTGAAAATTGATTTTTGGCAGGTTTTCACAATTTTAGACTGAATTCCTTGAGTGTAAGAACAAATCTGAAATTTTACCAAAAACTAAATGGCATTATTAAAGCTTTAGTGAACCGTTTTTAAAAGTTGACATTATAGTGCAGGAATAAGAATTTTTCTGGTACCATAGATGCTTTTTTATTTTTATTTATTTATTTATTTATTGCAGTGCTGGGGTTTGAACTCAGGGCCTCATGCCTGCTAGGCAGGCAATCTACCACTTGATCACTCCACCAGCTTAGATGCTCCTTTATTACTTATCATGTTTGTGATGATATCAATACACATATTCAGCAGGCACATTTAATTATTTTTTAAATAATATTGTTAACTTTCTTTGCACAACAGAATATAATTCAGGAAAATGTTTTTCAGAAACATATTTTCTAAAAGGAACTTATACACAAGTTCAAAAAATGGGAAAATTTGAAAAATCCTTTATCTTGATCTACTGAAAATTATTGGCAGTCTGTAGTAAATGTTTGAAGAGGTTCTTGTTTTATGCTTTTAGTCTGTGTAGGTTCAAAACTATAAAGAATTTTCTTTATAGAGCATTCTTGAAAAGTTTCATTTTGAAGTTTGATTAATGAGAATAAATGTGTTTTGGGTAACTTGTTTTTATTGACTTATCATACATGCTGTATATAAATTTAGAGTTTTACAGACTTGTAAACTTTGGATATGGCAGAGCTGATTTGTTTACTTTTAGTTTATCTTCCTAGAATATGAAGATTTCCCAAGTAGACTTTTTCTTGAAAGACTTGGACTGAAATGGAGTTGATTAAAAGTTAGCTGTAGATTTTTTCTTTAATCATATTGGGGATTGAACCCAGTGTTTCTCACATGCTAGGCAAGTACTCCACTTCTAAGCTAATATCTCTAGCACTAAATACAGATCTTAAAGGTTACTTTCTTTCTTTTTCGGGGAGGTAGTACTAGGATCTGAACTTAGGGCTTTGAACTTGCTAGGGCAGGTGTCCAACCTCTTGAGCTACACCTCCAGCCCAAAGGTCACTTTCTTTAATATTTGAAATGATTGTATATCAAATATTTTACAAAGTTTATGTTGTGATACAATGTAATTTCTGTTTTTCTATCTTGTGTTATTTATATTTATATACATCTCTTGACTCTAAAAGGAAGTTCTGTGCTTCCTAAAGCTATTTCATTCTCTCTCTTTTTTTTTTCCTTTAGATAGCACTGTGGTTTGAACTCAGGTCTTCACACTTGCTAGGCAGGCGCTCTTACTGCTTGAGCCACTCTGTCAACCTTAATATTTGGCTTTTTGTGACTGGCAACTGTTTTTTTTTCATTCTTTTAATATTCATATCATGTATTTATTTTTGTCTATCAGTTTTATTTTTCATATCAATCTGTTTGTAAATGTTTTATTTTTCAATTCTTGGAAAGTTTTTAATAATTATGTATAAAACTACAGCTCTTATAATCACTAATTATTGCATCATTTAACTCTTTTTTTTTTTTTTGTGAGACTGGGGTTAGAACTCAGGGCTTCGTGCTTTGTCTACCATATGAGCCACACCTTCAGTTCATTTTGCTCTGGTTATTTTGGAGATGGAGGAGTCTCACAAAATATTTGCCTGGGCTGGCCTCGAACCTCAGTTCTCCTGATTTTAGCCTCCCAAGTAGCTAGGATTATATGGGTAGCCACTGAAGCATTGTGGAACTCTTTTAATAACAGGTAGACATTTCTGCTGGGCACCAGTGGCTCACACCTGTCATCTTAACTTCTCAGGAGGCAGAGATCAGGAGGATCACAGTTCAAAGCCAGCCCCAGGCAAATAGTTCTCAAAACCCTATCTAAAAAATATCCTGTACAAAAAAGAGCTGACAGAATGTCTCAGTGGTAGAATGCCTGCCTACCAAGTGCGAGGCCCTGAGTTCAAATCCTGGTACCACCAAACAACAAAAAACCCACATAGACATTTCTACATGAGGCTCAGTTTGTTGTGGTGCTGCGAATGAATCTTAGGCTTTGTGCATGTTAAGCAGGCATTCTACCACTGAGCTATCTCCCCAGCCATACATTAGGGTTTGTTTTGTTTTTAAGAATTTCAAAAATAAGAAAACACAGATGGAGATTTTCTTTCAGAGTTATATGTAGAACATATTATTTGAATATGAAATAGTTACTTATGAACAGTGAATCAGAATGACATAACCCATTATGTTACTGATATTGTTAAATGTTAAATATTTACATGCTACCATTTATCACATACATAGTTAAGGATGCCAAAAATAACATTGAAGTAAACGTTTAGCTCTTCGGCTTTTAAAAAGCTAAGGCCTAAATTAGCAAAATAGTTAAACACTGAGGCTAAAGGGTAAAATTGGGTGTGCTATCAACTTAATTCTTCTTTATAAATCAGCACTATCTAATAGAAATTCCTACAGTGATGGAAATAGTCTCTATTTGTACTGCTTGGTATGCTAGTCACCGGTAGCTGTTGAGTACGTAAAAAGTGACTACTGCAATTAAAGACCTGAAATTTAAATTTAAATTTAAATTGAATAATTAAATGTGGCTGCTGGCTGCTATATTGGACAGTATAGTTAGAGATAAACCTACTAATGATTTTGAATCACTTCACCCTGCTCCCTCTCCCAATATACACATAACCACTTACACCCAGAAGGAAGCTCTAAAAATGAAGAATTTGGTTGTTAAAGCATGGAAAGGCCACTTAACCTCAGTTTGCTTGCTCACTTGGGGTGTCTTCCTCTCTCTCTCTCTTTCTGTCTCTCTCTGTCTCTTTCTCTAATGCTCTGTCTCCCTCTCCCTTTCTCTCTGGTGCTGGGGATCAAACCCATGGCATCACATGCATGTTAGGCAAGCGCTGCACAACTGAACTACATCCCCAGCCCCCTCTCTCTTCTAAGGAGACAAGGTGGCTCAAAGCTCTTTTCTGTTCTTTGTAGCTATCCCATTATCGAGAGCATTTGAACATTCAGGACCCCGAGAAACGAAAAGAATTTCTTAAGACCTGCATTGGGTAGGTATGGGAGAAAAATAGTTTCAAGTATAAATACTTTTATGCAGAAAGTGAAGAGAATAAAAAAGGGTGAAATCGATAGCTAGAAGGGAAAGACTAACAAATGAATCATACAGGCATTATTAAAGGTCATCTCATCATCTCATTCAGTGGTTCCCAAATTCAGTTCTCAACAAAGTTTTCACTGACTGGTGATAAACTGAGAAAAGTAAAGACAGTGTAGAGAATTTTTTCCTAAAGCTAAATTTTTTTAATTTGAAAGACTATCTTTTATTATGGGAGTTTGTTTGTCCCATTTCATTCCTTTATAGTAGTAAAATGGGTTGTAGATTTTTTTATGTCCTTATGTAATTAAATTGTGGCAATTATTTTCTTGTTTGTTTATTTTGCAGTGCTGGGGATTGAACCCAGTGCCCTTTGTATGCTGGGCAAGCACTTTACCACTGAGTTGCATCCATAGCTCTGGAAATTGTCAATTCCTTATAGACCTTGTGTATTTTTTTGAGTTAATTGGTTTTTGAAACCCCAAAGCCCAAGAACTGCTGATCTAGTGCAAGTTTTCATTCAGAATATAAATCCTTGTTAAAAAAAAGAAGGAATAGCTCCAAATATTACTCCTTTGATGGGATGCTTACTATTCTTGAAAGTAGCTTACTTTATTATCGGACAGCCTTTATTTTGGAAAGTGCTTCCTTATGTTAAGCTGAAACTTGCTTTTCTGTATCATTCAAGACAGGTATAGAGTCTCCCGTTAGTCCATGCTTCTCCAGCTTCAGTGTTCGCAGTTGTTTCAGCCATTCCCAAGGTGATACGATTTCCAGGCTTCATATTTAGAAATTTGCTTATGTTTAGAAATCCTTGATTTTAACGTTACTGAATACTGAGCTGTGTTGTATCACCTCTGGAGAGCAAAGAGAAAAGTACTAAAGTAACTAGAACCTATTGATGTCTCTCTTTATCTCTTATAAAAATTCACCATGATTCCCACTTATCTGGGATAGTGTAATTGAATTTCAGAATTCTTCCTGGAGTGAGTGGAGTAGGAGAATAAGGCAGCACTTTCTAAAGGATAGCTCTATGAACTGAGGGCTTAAAATCTGGCTTCTGTTCCTGGCCTTACCCATTGATGTCCATATGAGTTTTAGGTAAGACACTGTCCCTCAACTTCATGTAGAAAATCATAGTTTAAAGATGGGACCCCTGACATTTGTGTAGATCTTTGCAATCTTTGCCAGTCTTCAAAGCTACCATTATGCTATGCTATTTAATTTACTTTTTATTATTTTGCAATAAAAAGTGACTAATAAGTTTATATGCCCCCTAAGTAGAGTTAAGCAATGACATGAATGAACCACAGAGTTTTACCTGGGATGTGGATAATGGTCAGTTGACTAGGCTTGCTTTCTAGTTTTGTGACCCCTCTTCAATGTCCAACTCCCAAATGAGAGGATTCTTGTTCATTACACAGCAGAATCATTAATGACTATATGTGTTTTATGGACTTTCAGGATCCCTGTTGAATTGGCAAAATCTTAAATACAAAATCCAAGCCAAAGGTTTACTCTATTTTCTGCTCTCTTCCTCTGTTTTTAAGAGCAGCTATAAAGGTGAATCACAATTAGATTTATGATGCACCACGAGTGTTTTATGGTTACAGTGATAATTTGGTTTAGTTGGATTTGTTTTCCTTTTTACATAGAGAAAGTGGTACTAACCTTCTGGCCCTCTACCAGTTTGCCATTTTCAGCAGAAGATGCTGCACACATTCAAGACCATTACACCCTCCTGGAACGTCAGATCATTATTGAGGTTAGATTCCTCATCTCTAAGTTCTCTGCTTCAGTACCCAGGCTCAATGCTATTGGGCATTAGGAGACTTCTTTGCTCTGCACATATTTGTCATACCCTATTATAGTCTCTAAAGTCCTTTCACTTCCCCCCTCTACACCTTAACCATCTTCCTCCGTTGTTCTTAGGCATTTTTTTCTTCTTACCTGCCGTTAACCTGTAGTTCTTCATCCTAGACTTCCATGTCATCCCACTTCTGAAATCTCTTGATCCAAATCCATTGTCATTTTATGGATTTAGTAGCCTCCCCCTACCGGTGTATCCTAGGCAATTTCTTTTTCCCTTTCTTGCTTCATTCCTAGGGAGGGAAACACAACTACTGTAATAGTAAGGTTTTTCTCCTGCCTCTGCTGCATGGAAATTGTTCTTTTTTTCACTTGGCTCACTCCACCACAGGCAAATGATCGACATCTAGAGGCAGCAGGACAGACCGAGGTCTTCCGAAAGCATCCCCGCAAGGCTTCCATTCTCAACATGCCACTAGTGACCACGCTTTTCTACTCCTGTTTCTATCACTACACAGAGGCTGAGGTACAGGCAAAATGTGAAAGAAATGCCCCACATGAAGACCATAGTTCACATCCAGTATTTTGATGCACTCTGTTACTAGTAAGTGTGTTATAGGTCTCAGAAATTTACCTGGAAGCTTTTCTGGCCTTCAGCCATGGTGAGCCAAGAGGGAAGAAGAGGTTTGTAAGGATTTGTGTGGCTTCAGTAGGCTGGTCGGCTAGCATAGCATGTTGTTTCTGGAGCTGGCTCCCATAACAGTGTCTGTTCAAAGTGTTCAAAGACCCATAATTTCCAGTGGATTACCATGATGTAGAGGAGAGCAGCTGCACATCAGGTAGCAGTGGATCCTTTTTTTTTTTTTTTAAGTTTGGATTTAATGATCACAAGTGAACATTTTCCCCATACTTAAATTAACAGAGAATTGTAAAAAGTACCATATTTATTAATCCAATTCCTGATAAACTAGGTTGTGATGATATCCCATTAGACTCAATGCAGCTTTTCCCATAAATTAATTTTGAGTTTTAAAATGGTTACAGAGTAAGATTTAGAAAGTCTGTGTAGAAGAAAAGAAAATGAGAGATTGAGTGATCTCACTAAAGTTCCTTCTCTCCTTTCATCCTAGGGGACATTCAGTAGTCCTATCAACCTGAAGAAGACATTTAAGGTAGATACATGTTGGTCAGTGTTTGTAAAAGTAATGTCAGTGTAACTACATGCAGTGGATGTTGCTTGATAACCCTGTACTGTAAGTGCTTTGATATTCAGGGTTCAAGGTAGAAAGGAATGAATTTGTGGAAAGTGAGAGAAAACTTTAACTGAATGGTATACATCAATGCTGAGGTTCATAAGTTATGGGTTCTTGATGACCTGAGGAATTTACTAATTTAATGGGGCAGAATATGTGTTCTTTTCTAACTTTCTCAAGCAGCTCTATTGATGCATTTCTACTTCCCCTTAATTTCCTGGTTTCTGCTTTCTAGATCCCAGACAAACAGTATGTGCTGACAGCCCTGGCTGCTCGTGCCAAGCTTCGAGCCTGGCATGACGTGGATGCCCTCTTCACCACGAAGGTGAGTGCCCTAGAACTGATTTGGGCTGATGAGGCCTTGGGAAAAAGAAGGATCATTATTTCATTTTTAAAGTTCTAGTTGCTGATTAACATTTTTCTCCAGCCTTTTATTTTCCAAAATTTTAAGCCTAAAGAAAACTTGAAAGAAGAGTATAGTGACCATTAATCACCTCTACCCACTTCACTAATTTATTAACATTTTTGCCATATTAGCTAACTTTTACTTTTTCTATATACATGCATTTTTTTCTGAACCATTATGACAGTTCTCCCTTAAATACTTAAGAATTTATCTCCTCCATAAGCACAATATTATTCTCACTCAAGAAATTTAATAATAGAATAATATTATTGCGTGTATTTACCATATATATTGTTACATATAAGGAGAGAGAGAAGAGAGACCATATTTTAATTAGATCTTTATAACTGTTTTTGTATTTATGTGCTGTTAGGATTTAGTTAAGGACATTGCATTGTATTTGGTTGTAGTCTCTACTGGATTACATTTATTTATTTACTTGAGAGAAAAAAATTTTTATTTTTATTGTGCTGTGCAAGGGTACATTGTGACATTTACAAATGCACATTTAAAAAATAATTGTTACATACATTTTAAGGTGTACAGCATGGTATTTTGATACACATGGTGAAATGATTATTGTAGTTTAGCTAATTACTGTCCATCTCACATCTATACCTATTTTGTGTGTGTGTGTGTGTGTGTGTGTGTTAATACCCCAAATCCACTCTTAGCAAATGTCCACTATACAGTATTATTAACTACAGATATCATGCTTTATTCATCCTATAGAACTGCAACTTTGTACCCCTTAACCATGCATATCTCTCCATTTCCCCTCCCTTCAGAATCCATCTTTCTCTGATTTTATGTATTTGATATATTTTTTAGATCTTACATTAATGTAATGTAATGCGGTATTTTTCTTTCTATGTCTAGGATTATTAGCATAATGTTCTCAGGTTTATCCATGGTGTCAAAATTGGCAAGATCTCCTTAAGGCCGAATACTAATCCATTGTGTGTGTACATATATATACCTGTTGGGAACCAAAAGCCACAGTCTGACAAGATCGCTGTGGCTTAGCAGCATTCCAACAAGGTTGGAATCTGCAGGTGCACCATGCCTCTATCACAGTGAGAAGGACTGAAAAGAAGTTTATACTTAGTCAAGGACACTGGCAGTAAAAATACAGAATGGCAAAAACAGAAAGGTTGTAACTAGGTCAGAGTGTTTTGATGTTTAAGTCTTTTCCTCTTTTGTATAAAGCTTGCTGAGAAAAATAAAATTTTGCCAGTTGGTCATCAGCCTGCTGGCCCTCTCAATATGTGTTTTGTCATTCCCTTCCTTAGTGAGTCCTTTCGTATGTCCTGTCTTGTTCATTCCTTTCTTGAGCACTTTTGGGTCAAGGACCTCTGCAATCCCAGCATATACCACAATTTCTTTATCTATTTTTCCAGTGATGGACACTTACTTTTTCATATTTTGGTTATTGTGGATAATACTACAATGGATGTGGAATGCAGATATTTTTATGAGGTTGTTGTTTTATTTCCTTTAGCATATACCCAGAGAAGGGATTACTGGGTCATGTGATAGTTCTATTTTTAATTTCTTTAGGAATTTGCTTTTTCATAATGTCTATACCAATCTGTATTCCTACCACAGTATCTTTTCCTCCATACCTTCACCAACACTTGTTATTTCTTATCTTTTTGATAATAGCCACCCTAACAGGTATGAGGTGATATCTCATAATGATGATTTACATTTTCTAATGATTAATGATGTTGAGCACCTTTTCATATACCTGTTGACCATTTTTTGTCTTTGGAGAAATGTCTGTTCAGGTGCTTTGTTCATTTTTTAATTAGGTTATTTGCTTTTCTGTTATTGAGTTGTGTGAGTTCTTTATATAAATTTTAGATATCAACCTTTACCAGACATACAGTTTGAAAATATTTTCTCCAAATTTGTAGGTTGCCTTTTTCTTTTAGTTGTTTACTTTGCAGCAGCTTTTTTGGTTTGATGTCGTCCCATTTATTTATTTTTGCTTTTTTAGCCTGAGCTTTAGGTATGATAGCCAAAAATTCATTGCCAAGGCCAATGTCAAGGGCCTTTTCTCCTATAATTTCTTTTTTGAGTTTTATGGTTCCAGGTCTTATATTTGGGTCTTCTATCCATTTTAAGTTGATTTTTTGTGTATGATGTAAGATAAGGAGTCCAAGATCATTATTTTGCATGTGGAGATCCAGTTTTCCCAGCACCACTTTTTGAAGAAACTATCCTGTCCCTCATTGTGTCCTCTTGGTGCCCTTGGGGAAATTAGTTGGCCATATATGCTTAGGTTTATTTCTAGTCTTGTTTTTTTCCTCTGTTTCAGCATTCTATGTGTTTGTTTTTATGTCAAGAGTATACTGTTTTGATTATGATAGCTTTGTGATATAACTTGAAATCAGGACATGTGATGCCTCCAACTTTTGATTTCTCTTTTTCAAGATTGCTTTGGCTATTTGGGTCACTTATGGTTCCATACAAATTGGAATATATTTTAAATTTCAAGTTTTTTATTATGGGTTTGAGAATTTTCTGTTTTTCCTTCTTGATAATTCATGAATTAAATTAATTAACAAAGCAAAATATCCATATGTCAAAATCAAACACTTGAGCCAGGCATAGGTGGCTCACACCTATAACAGAGTGAATCAAAATACTGGATGTGAACTATGGTCTTCATGTGGGGCATTTCTTTCACATTTTGCCTGTACCTCGGCCTCTGTGTAGTGATAGAATCAGGAGTAGAAAAGCGTGGTCACTAGTGGCATGTTGAGAATGGAAGCCTTGCAGGGATGCTTTCGGAAGACCTCGGTCTGTCCTGCTGCCTCTAGATGTCGATCATTTGCCTGTGGTGGAGTGAGCCAAGTGAAAAAAAGAACAATTTCCATGCAGCAGAGACAGGAGGCAAAGATCAAGAGGATTTGGTTCAAAACCATCCTGGGCAAGACCATATCCTGAAAATACCCAACACAAAAAAAGGCTGGTGGAGTGACTCTAGTAGTAGAGCACCTGCCTAGCAAGTGTAAGACCCTGAGTTCAAGTTCCAGTTCCACCAAAAAAAAAAAAAAAATCAAACACTGTATAAAACTATATAAAGGGTAAGAGGGAGACCCTGGGTTCAATTCCCTGCATAAAAAAGAATCAAAAATAGATTCTGTTTTCATTGTCTATTTGCTCCTGGCTCACTCTCTTCCTGAAGGAAAACACTGTTAAAAGTCTGATGTGTAGCTTTCATATAAGAGAACATTTATATATATATATTTTTTGGGAGGGGGGAGGAACTGGGGTTTGAACTCAGTACCTCATGCTTGGTAGGCAGGTGCTTTACCACTTGAGCCACTCTGCCAGTCCAACATTTATATATTTATATATATATATATATATATATATATATACACACATACACACATATACATACACTGATAAATTCATTCTGTAAGTATTGTTAATCATTATTTTAATTTAATTTAATTTAATTTTGGTGCTGGGCCTTATACATGGTAGGCAAGCACTCTACCACTTGAGCTAAGACTGCAAGCCTTTTGTTTTTATTTTATCTTTGAGACAGGGTTTTGTTGCTACTTTTACCCAGGCTAGCTTTAACTCATAATCCTCCTGCCTTTGCCTCCTGAGTAGGTGTGGGTCACCATGCCCAACTATTAATCACTTATTCTATTTGTTAATATTTCACAGGCTTTATTCTCACACTATTGTCTGTAGATCTAAGAACTTGTTTTATACTTCTCTTTTCTACCTTCTAAAATCCCATGACTCTTCTGAAAGATTCATCTCTTGCCATTTCTCTATCTCTCAACCTCTCTCCATCTTTCCACCATACTATTCTGGTCTGACTATAAAACAGAGATGAGCTCAAAGTGTGTTGACAATGTCTGGCTTACCTATTGTTGTCCTGTCTTCATTTTGCAGAACTGGCTTGGTTATACCAAGAAGAAGGCACCCATTGGCTTCCATCGAGTTGTGGAAATTTTGCACAAGAATAGTGCCCCGGTCCAGGTAAAGGGTCCAAAGTAGAGTTAGGTATAAGATTATCTAGGAGACCTAACTTTTAGCCTCTTTTTATGCAGTTGGGGAGACTTGACCTGTTCTGGTTTTCCCTTAATGGCAGCACAATGGCTGTGCTGGGCCTTGAGATAGAAAAGTCCAGAGAGGGATGTCCTTTTCCCCCTTAGAAGTAATATCAGACTGTCATCTCTGAGGAGCATCTACTGTGTCCAGTTGTGGAGATCTGTGTACTGTTCAAATGATCCGAAAGGCAAGCTTGCTGGGAAAGGACATCAAGGAGAAGTAGGCACACACTGGATCAGCTCTGGAGCACTACCTTGCTGGCACTTGTGTATCAGTCTGTAGAGTATGAGAAATGTGCTTTTCCCTTCTTTTCTGCCTAGTGTCACCTCATTTCCTCCTGAAAAACTAGTCTTGTGGTTGATTATGGGAATTGTATATGTTAGATATTGAAATCTTTTGCTTCCTTCAGGACTTTTTTTTCCTTCTATTTGTAGCTCTGTATTTTTATAAGGCCAGGCAGGAATCATTAATCAGAAGTACTTTCCCCCACAGATATTGCAGGAATATGTCAATCTGGTGGAAGATGTGGACACAAAGTTGAACTTAGCCACTAAGTTCAAGTGCCATGATGTTGTCATTGATGTGAGTACCTAAGAAGTAAGAGCCCTGAATTAGATCCTCTGAGGAGAGTGGGGGAATCCAACATAAGTCTTAGATTCTGAGACACTTCCATCAGTTTTGACTGAATAGACAAAATAGTCTGGCAAGAGTTAGATTGGAGACCAGTACTCCTATAGTGTTTTCTCAGTCCTCTAACTAGTTTCTTTGAAATTTTCTAGTTTATTGCATTTGGAGAAATCAGAACTGAAAAAAAAAGTTAAATAAGTTCTGTGGACTTCTCTCCAATGTGGAATTCTATAGGTATTTGAACCCACTGTAGCCTCTTGGCCTCTCCTTGAGTTTTGGGTTAAGGTAATAGTGACAAAAATGAAGAACCCCTCATAGAGAAGGCTAAGTGGGAATTTGTATTGTTTGTTTTGGTGTACAGACCTGCAGGGACCTGAAGGATCGTCAGCAGTTGCTTGCATATAGGAGCAAGGTTGATAAAGGATCTGCAGAGGAGGAGAAAATTGATGCCATTCTCAGCAGCTCGGTGAGCAGTTACACATAACCCTCCAGTACCAGAAGATAGACATTTCACAAAGTAGCATCAAGTGTATATTCCGAAAACCTGAATGGAGTACAGTTAAGGAAACCACCTAGATTCAAGACTCACCTGAGGGCCAAAATATCAAAAGCACTGCTTTGAGCAGCAGAAATTACTGCTAGATGTGGGATAATAGAAGGATAAACTGGAGACCTCAGGATGAGACTCAACTGTGATGCTCCGATCATAGCAGATAGAAGGAACTATTGTAACTGTAAGATGAATGTTTCAGATTTAGAATATGCAGACTGTGTAGTCTCTTGGGGATAGATGTGAACTACCCCTTCGAAGTAAGTGAATGGTATAGACTTTAGCTATATGAGGAGTACAATTGGTTTTTCTCTCATAATATGAAATCACTGAACTTTTTGTTACCATGGAACTTAGTTTCCTATTAGGTATTTTGACACCTACACTAGAGTCATTTAAAACTAATGAATCTTGGTCCTTAGGAGGCATCCTGTAAAAGAATAGTTATTTAAATCCATCTTTGAATAAATGAACTGCCCCACATATTAAAAAAAAATTCTCAGGCTGGGCACAATGGTGCATGCCTATAATCTCAGCTACTTGGGAGGAAAAGATCAGGAGGATCATGGTTCAAAGCCAGCCTGGGCAAAAAGTTAGTGAGGCCCCATCTCAACCAATAAGCTAGGCATGGTGGTATGTGCTTGTGGTCCTAGCTACGCAGGAACATCGGTACAAGGATCATGGTCCAAAGTCAGCTTCTGGCAAAAACATGAGATCCTATCTGAGAAAAAGGTAAAACAAAAAAAAAAAGAACTAGGAACATGGCTTAAGTGGTACCACATCTGCCTAGTATGCATGAGGCTCTGAATTCAAACCCTAGTACTGCCTCCCCCCCGAAATTCTCAGTACTTCCCAATCTGGTTTTTATTTTCCTTTCTCTTCATTACCTAGCTCTGTACCTTGATTTATTGTATTCCTTCTATCTCTCTATAGGAATAAGTGAAAACTGATCAGACCTTTGTTGTTTGCTCTTTCCACAGCAAATTCGATGGAAAAATTAAGTGGCATTAGTTTCCCTGACACCTGCCTCATTTCTTCCTTTCCTGCCTGTGAAAATAGACAGTTCTCTTCTTTGGGAGACTACAGCATCACACCACTTGGACCCATCATCAACAGCAGTGCCTGCTGCTCTTGGGACAGAAGCCAGTACCTGGGCACAGGTAGCTTTTAGACTGATCTATCCAAGGGACATCATGTAAGGGTCAGTTTCTAATGCTGTGACTCATGAGAAAGATACTTTCCACCTGGTGCTCATGTGAAGGTGGGAGCGATAGTGAGTAAGATCTCTCTTGGTCTGAGAAAAGTAACTGCTCCAGGAAGGATGCTTCATAGACTAAGAGGTGCAAGAGCAGCCGCAGGACGGCTACTCCGTTCCTCTCAGCCAATCATCCAGGACCTGGTGCTGGACGTTGGCAGTTCTTCTCTGAAGGAAGTCAGAACAAAACCAAAATGACTGTCTTCCAAGGGCCTCAGGAAGGCGTGCCAGTATTGCTCAGGACCTGCTGGAGACACATTCAAGCCAGACTGCACAGTGCCCTGAAAATTACAACAGCCACTGCCTAGACGTTGTTTCTTCAGCCAGTATCTCTGCTGCTTCAGGCTACTCTTTGTCCAAAAACTTAGGGTTCTTTCTCACCTGCACACTGAGATGACCTATTTGGGTGATGAGACAGCCCCCTTATCTTTTCCTCTAATTCTGTCCCAGACTACAACCTATATGAAGCTCAGAATTAACAGTGCTGGAGAGCTCTTCCTTTAGTCAAAAATCTCCTTTCATCAGAAGCATTCAGAAGTTTCACTGAGCTAAAATTGGCAACATTTGTGGTCGGATATTTAGATTGAGGCTTTATTTTCATATCTGACTTTTGAGAGGATGTTCTCTAATGCTAGGTTCTGCTCTGTATCAGTATCATCTTTCTGTGACTGAATTGGGTTTCCCTGTCATGCCTGGACTCCTAATAAAACTGTTTCATCCTTGGTGCCTTCTCTTCCCCACTGTTTGTAATGTGCTGAATGGTGAAATAATTACTTGGTATCTTGTCTGTGTCCATGACTGCATTCAGCAGCCTATCAGGTTAACAGTGCCTATGGCAAAGTAGGATTGTGTGACTAAAAGAAAGAGCACCAAGCTGGGAGACAAGACCTAACTTCTTTTCCTAGCTTTGCACTGACAAACTGTATGGCACTAGGTAAGTTTCTTTCTCTTTGGACTCATTTTTATCTGTAAAATGAGGGCATGACAATCTATGACCTTGTAGTGTTCTACATTCCTGTGACTAGAATGGGTGAAAGAGTAGGAGGTAAAGAGATGATGCTCAGACAGAGGCACACAGCACACTTTAAAGCAATGTGGCTCTCAGCTAATTTGCAATATTTGAAGGTTCTTTTCATTGCCGCACTTGGTGGGTGGGGAGGAGATGCTACTAGCATCCATTGAGTAGAGGCCAGGGATGCTGCTAAATATCTGGTAATGTTAAAGAATCCCCCCTTCTCTCCCCCCAGCCACAGTGATTTGTCCTGCCCCAAATGCCAAAATGCTAGCAGTGCCAATGTTGAGAAACCCTGCTTTAAGGGCATCAGATTCCATCTTTTGCTCCTCCATTTTGTAACCTCCTTTTGTTTCTTTCCTGATATCCTTGCTATTGAAGAAACAGAACTTTAATTTGCTAGATTGTGCTGAAGTTTTTGGCTCATCTTCAGGCAAGCAGTGGTAACTTTGTCAACTGTGTATTAGTTAATTCAGTCAGAGAAGCAGAACCACTAGAAGTATATACACATTGTCTAGTCTATATAATTTGTTATAGGGATTTGACCTTATTCAAGTATGTTAAGTAGTTTGTGTAAGGTGGTTGTCTTTATGTCTGGGTTAGAGCTTGAAATTTGTAGAACAGGCAGAGGGGAAGGGAAGATGAATGTAAAGTGGGGGAGCCAGGAAAGCTAGAACCCATGAGAATAATCTAGGACCCATCTCTGTTCTCACTAGCTACAACCTCAGTTGAATGGGTATCACTTACAACAAGATGACCTACCTACTGTTTTGGTGGAAAGAAGTGTTTTTTAGGTTTAATGAGCTTCCATGCTCCTTCCTTCAGGCTCTGGGGACTTTACTCTTAAGATTGAGAGTATGTCTTGGCAGCCTTCCTATAAGAGGAATTAGAGAAGCCAGACATAAAAGGTCACACAGTGTATATTCCCCTTATATGAAATATGTGGAATAGTTAAATCAATATACAGAAAGCAGATCGGTGAATCCAGATGGGGACCGATAGGGAGTAATTGCTTAATGTGAATAGGAGTTCTTTTTCTGGGATGTGAAAATGTTTTGGAACCAGATAGAGATAGTTGTACAACATTCTGAATGTACCCCTGAGTTGTTAATTTTAAAATGGGTAATTTTAAGTGAATTTCATCCTAAATTTTTTGTTTTTAAATTTAACAAGAGGCTTAAAGACGTGAGTTGTTTTAATTTTTGATCTGTCTTACCATTCCTATAAAAATTAATCATGGGGCTAGAGGTAATCATGGCTCAAGTGGTAGAGTGACTGCTTTGCAAGCATGAAATCTCAAGTTTAAACTCCAGTCCCACCAAAAAAAATATATATATATATATGGCAGGTAAAAATTGGTAATGGACTGGAGGCATGGCTCAAGCAGTTAGAGTGCCTGCTTTGTAAGTATGAAGTGCTAAGGCTGGCAGAGTGGTTCAAGTGGTAGAGCACCTGCTTAGTGAGTGTGAGGCCCTAAGTTCAAACCCCAGTACCAAAAAGAATAATGATAACTCAAACTCCTAGAAAAACAAGATCAAGCAAATCCCAAAACAAACAGAAGGAGAAAACAATAAAAATAAGAGCTGAAATCAATGAAATAGAAACAAAGAAAACCATACAAAGAATTAATGAAACAAAAAGTTGGTTCTTTGAAAAAAATAAATAAGATTGACAGACCCCTGGCAAACCTGACTAAAACGAGGAGAGAAAAAACTCAAATCAGTAAATGCAAAAGGGGAGATTATAACAATCACCATGAAAATCCAGGAAATCATCAGAGACTATTTCGAGGACCTATATTCTAATAAATATGAAAATCTTTAAGAAATGGATAGATTTCTAGATACTTACGATCATCCAAAACTGAACCAACAGGACATTAATACCTGAAGAGATCTATAACACAAAATGAAATTGAAGCAGCAATAAAGAGTCTCTCAAAAAAGAAAAATCCAGGACCTGATGGATTTAAATGTCTGAATTCTATCAGACATTTAAAGAAGAACTAATACCGACCCTCCTTAAACTGTTCCATGAAATAGAAAGGAAAGGAAAACTGCCTAATGAAGCCAGTATTACACTCATCCCAAAACCAGGCAAAGACACCTCCTAAAAGGAGACCTATAGGCCAATCTCTGTAATGAACATTGGTGCAAAAATAATAAAATAATGGCAAGCCAAATCCAACAACACATCAAAAAGATCATTCACCACGACCAAGTTGGCTTCATCCCAGGAATACAGGGGTGGTTCAACATACACAAATCAATAAATGTAATACAGTACATTAACAGAAGCAAAGACAAAAACCACTTGATCATCTCAATAGATACAGAAAAAGCCTTTGATAAGATCTAACACCATTCATGATAAAAGCTCTAAGAAAACTAAGAATAGAAGGAATGTACCTCTACATAAAAGCTATATATGACAAACCTACAGCCAACATTATACTCAATGGGGAAAAACTGAAACCATTCCCTCTAAAATTAGGAATGAGACAAAGATGCCCACTATCCCCACTCCTATTCAACATAGTACTGGAATTCCTAGCCAGGGTAATAAGGCAAGAAGAAGAAATATAAGGAATACAAATAGGTAAACTGTCAAAATATCCCTATTTGCAGATGATATGATCCCATACCTTAAAAACCCAAAAAACTCTACCCAAAAACTCCTAGACACCATCAACAGTTATAGCAAGGTGGCAGAATACAAAATCAACTTACAAAAATCATTAGCTTTTCTATATACTAATAATGAACAAAATGAGAAAGAATATATGAAAATTCCATTTACAACAGCTTCAAAAAAAATCAAATACCTAGGAATAAACTTAACAAAAGATGTGAATGACCTCTACAAGAAAAACTATAAACCCCTGAAGAAAGAGATTAAGGAAGACTATAGAAGGTGGAGAGATCTCCCATGTTCATGGATAGGTAGACTCAACATAGTAAAAATGGCTATACTACCAAAAGAAATCTACATATTTAATGCAATTCCCATGAAAATCCCATTGACTTTCATCAAAGAGATTGAAAAATCTACCCTAAAATTCATTTGGAAACACAAGAGACAATGAATAGCCAAGGCAATACTCAGCAAAAAGAACAATGCTGGAGGTATCACAATACCCGACTTCAAACTATATTACAAAGCAATAGCAATGAAAACAACATGGTACTGGCACAAAAACACATGAAAACCAGTGGAACAGAATAGAGGACCCAGATATGAATCCATACAACTATACCCAACTTATTTTTGACAAAAGTGCTAAAAATATACAATGGAGAAAAGACAGCTTCTTCAACAAAAACTGTTGGGAAAACCAGTTAGCAGTCTGCAAAAAACTGAAATTAGATCTATGTTTATCACCCTCTACTAGTATTAACTCAAAATGGATCAAGGACCTTAATATCAGACCCCAAACTCTAAAGTTGATACAGGAAAGAGTAGGAAATACCTTAGAAATAATAGGTATAGGCAAGGACTTCCTCAGTGGAACCCCAGCAGCTCAGCAACTAAGAGATAGCATAGACAAATGGGACTTCATAAAATTAAAAAGCTTCTGCTCAACAAAAGAAATGGTCTCTAAACTGAAGAGAACACCCACAGAGTGGGAGAAAATATTTGCTAGCTACACATCAGACAAAGGACCGATAACCAGAATATACAGGGAACTCAAAAAACTAAACTCTCCCAAAATTAATGAACCCATAAAGAAATGGGCAAGTGAACTTAACAGAACTTTCTCAAAAGAAGAAATTCAAATGGCCAAAAAACACATGAAAAAATGCTCACCGTCCCTAGCAATAAAGGAAATGCAAATCAAAACTACACTAAGATTCCACCTCACCCCTGTTAGAATACCCATAATTAGAAACACCACCAATAACAGGTGTTGTTGAGGATGTGGAGAAAAAGGAATCCCTTATACACTGCTGGTGGGAATGTAAACTAGTACAACCACTCTGAAAAAAAATTTGGAGGCTACTTAAAAATCTAAACATAGACCTGCCATTTGATCCAGCAGTACCACTCCTGGGAATATACCCAAAGGAATGGGACACAGGTTACTCCAGAGGCACCTGCACACCCATGTTTATTGCAGCACTATTCAATAGCCAAGTTATGGAAACAGCCAAGATGCCCCACCACTGACGAATGGATTAAGAAAATGTGCTATCTATACACAATGGAATTTTATGCAGCCATGAAGAAGAATGAAATTTTATCATTTGCAAGCAAATGGATGGAACTGGAGAACATCATCCTGAGTGAGGTTATCCAGGCACAGAAGAGCAAAAATCATAAGTTCTCCCTCATATGTGGACTTTAGATCAAGGGCGAACACAACAAGGGGATAGGACTTTGATTACATGATCAGGTGAGTACACACACACGAGGTATGAGGATAGGTAGCCAACCCAGAAAAAAAAAAAAAGCATTTGATGTCTTCAATGCACAGGAACTAATGCAGAAACTTTAAAGCAACAGAGGCCAATAGGAGAAGGGGACTAGGAACTAGAGAAAAGGTTAGTTCGAGAACAATCAATTTAGAAAGTAACACATATGTACATGGAAGCAAAACTAGGAATCTCCCTATATAGCTATCCTTACCTCAATTAGCAAAAACCCTTGGTCCTCCTTATTAATGTTTATACTCTCTCTTCAACAAAATTAGAGATGAGGGCAAAACAGTTTCTGCTTGGAAGCGAGGGGGTGGGGTCAAGAGGGAGGAGGTGGGGGAAAGGGAGGGGGCGTGGGGAAGGGGGGAGAAATGACCCAATCATTGTATGCACATATGAATAAAGGAAAAAAAATAATTAGTAGTAGTAGTGCTAAGGACTGTGGGTAAAGCTCATTGTGGTAGAGCATTTGCTATAAGGCCCAAGTTAATACCCAGTACCACCAGACTTCTTTGCCAAGCATTGTGATGCACACCTATAATTCCAGCTACTTGGGAGGTTGAGGCAGGAGGATTGCAAGTCCAAGTCCAGCCTAGGAAACAGTGAGACCCTGTCTCAAAATAAAAAAGGACTGGGGATGTAGGTCAATAGTAGAGCACTTTCTTA